GGTGAGGTGGGCAGAGGATCTGTCGACACGTGGGGGAAGGAGGACGGTTGATCCGGCGGTGGGGAGTCCGAGGATGGAGCTGAGGAAGTTCGGGAAGAATTACTCTCAGCTGCTGGAGTTGATGGTGGAGCATGCTCAGATGGAGGAGAGAGTCGTCTTTCCCGTGCTTGAAATGGCTGATCGAGGTACGCTCCATGGCCTTAAGATTCCCATCAAGAATTTCATTTTCTTGGCTGCTTTCAACCTAGCAAGTAGCATCGCATGCCTTGTATATCTGCTCATAAATTTCATTTTCTACGAAGCAAAGCATTCAATTATTGTATGAAATCAAAGCATGATTTTATCAACATAAATCAATAAGCATAGTCTAATTTTATGCTTGTATTTGATAGAGACCTATTATCTGTATATAAATAATTAAGCACTATTATATATTGGGAAATAATCATCTTCCTATGCAAACAGGGCCTTATCTTATGCAAAAGGCATTCCTAATTAATTTTACGTACATCTTCATCACTCCAAGAACCTAAGCTATCACAGTGCTAGATCCAATTATTTATGGCCTATTATTTTTCGAGTATGGTATAATCAAATTGTGAAAACTATGACAATGTATCCAATGATTAGCCTTTTGTTGCATTGTTCATATGCATTTGCTAGCTGATATTCATTCTCATTTAACTCCAAATACTCTAAGAACCCAGTTTTTGTTTCCTCTTAGTATCTAAACACTTGTAATTTAGCTTTTCCCGAGTATCATAATTTCCTATGACTTTTGTCTATTTGAAGCAACATAATTGATTTCCACTATTCCCAAATAATAGAGAAGTATTTCTTCCATGCATTATAGTTCATGGAATACCAATAGTAATTACTATATAATTTATAAATAGGTATATGGAAGTCAGAAACCCAGAATTGATGATATCATGAACTATAACTAGTCCTAAAGATGATTTCACTCTTTTTGAAGTGTGAGATCTATGCCTAGAGCATAAGCAAAGTCATTCTTTTGGATTTTGTGTGTACATTGCTCATCAGTTGTGCCAAAGATGTGCAGAAGTGAAAAGCATAGCATGGACTTGGTTTCAATCCCCTTTTTCGGGGTATTCCTAACAGAACTTGTTAAATCATCAAATGTTCATTAATATAAAGATAAATCACTAAGAAAAGCAAAAAATCTGGCTTGCTACCTGTTCCATGGCTAACATAGGGGCTCCCTCACTTGTTATAGTATCCTAGTAATTAAAATTTATTCAACCAACTCTTTTGTACATTCAACTTGTACTTGTTCCTGCTTAGCTGCATGTTCCTTTAGGTGCCCCATTCTCAAAATAATATCAGATGAGATTTTAATTTGTAATTCTAAAATCCTAACAATGAATAAAAGTTTCAAATAAGAAACAATATCCTAAATTCTTTTTTAGAAAATATATAACAAGTATATATTTAAAGTAGCTTAGTCAAATTTTTTTAATTAGAAAAATAGCTCATATGTATCTTACCCAAAATTAGAAGCATCACTATTCATGAGAAGACATAAATGAACAAAAAAAGAAAGAACAAGGAGATGGGAAGCCCTTATTCAACCACAGAGAGAATGCAAAAATGGATTAGGAATTCACTAGGCTAGTAAGGTGTGCCAAGCTGCAACATCAATTATTAGTTTTATTTTTTTCTAATTCTTTTGCACAACCACATAGTTTTAACTTTGTTGATTGGTGCCGTATGCGACTTTGTCTTCGCAGAGATCAGACATATTACCTACATATATTCTTGTAATTGACTTCACAAATGAATGTGGCAGTGCTGAACTCCAAATCCTAAACATGCTCGGACATGTTAAATACCACTTTTATAATGGAGGTTGATCCCATAAGTTTTAACTTCTAAGATGAAGCCAACATTCCTGCTAAGATATCTTATGTTATTCAATCTATATCTTATGGTCTGAGGATTTGAAATCAGACACGCTCATCTTAAGAAACTAAGATAGATTTCGCCTGTAATGAAAAATGGCTTGAACAGAATGGCCCTCCAGGGTTACAGCTTGATACTTTTAACTTGCAGTGGGATGGAGGAGAGAGAGTTATACTGATTTCTTTTCAAGTAACTCAGAGCTTAATGAGCTTTTATAAGTATAAAGAATATCATTAATGTGAAACTGGGAGTGTTGCAAGAATTGAACTCACAGACTCACACTTAAAGCAAGAATCATGCCACTAGACTATGTCTTTGTGATATTGACAATATGAAGATTTTGCTCTTAGCATATTTGTTACTCGTATCATAGTTTTTGAGCAAATTTGCTTATAACAAGTTGTTTTTGAATGCCATTGTAGTAGAAAGAAATTTTTCATTTTTCAGTTGATAATTTGACTGGTTTTAAAACTTTATGGAGAATTGTAACTTTACGTGTATTTGCTTGTGGATAGTACTTTTAGCTTGTTAATCTCTAAAATAAATAAATGTTAAAAACGAGGGAAATAAATATTCTTCTAGTTTTAGAATTACAATTTTTTGTACTTGAAGAAACAGGTATAGTAAAAATGTTGCTGATTATAACAATGCAGGACTGTGTAAAGCTGCAAATGAGGAACATGCAAGGGACCTGCCAGTTATGAATGGCATCAAAGAAGACATCAAATCCATTGGAGTTATGGACTATGGGACCCCTGCTTACCATGAAGGGCTCGCCAATCTTTCTACCCGGCTCAAGTCATTACAGGTATAAATTTTTTGCAACGCAAAATGGGTTTAGGGCCATCTGTAAGATGGGCAATGCCATTGATTGTCTTTGATGATGCTTGATGTGCCGTTGCCCTTACATGTATGTTGAATCATGCAAGACAATCAAGGTAATAGTATGGATTGTCCTGTCTGTCATCTGATTATCTTCGTCCTTCTGTTGTTGACAGAAGCATTGTAAAGAACACTTCGATGAGGAGGAGAAACATTTACTGCCATTGATAGAGGCAACAGAGCTGAGTGAAGAACAGAAAACGAGGGTATTTGAACAGTGCTTTGATGCGATGAAGGCAACTCATTCACATTTGTTAAACTATTTCCTCGAAGGCCTACTCCCCTCAGAAGCTATGGAGTATGTCGACTTGATCAATAAATGCAGCGACAAAGAACGAACAGCCTCTATGATTCAGATGATTGCCAAGTAAAACCTGTGGTGTTGGTTGTGATGAGCAAATAAGCATGTAAAATACATAGATTGCTTGAATACAGAAAATTGAATGATTTGTTTACCTCTTTTTCTTAAGCTACAACAAATGAGTTAAAAACTTGCTCACAAGCTTGGCTCAGCTGTGTAGTCTGTTGACGTGGTATTGCACATATTGGAGATGCTTAGTTGGTCAAAAAAACAAAAAAAAAGAAAGGAACAAAATAGAGATATTGAGGGATTTAAGACATGGTTGGCTCACCTTCACATTAGATTGTATAGGGAAACATTGGCAAGACTTGATTTTAAAGATGATGTTAATATGATATATAAGATTTTCTTATAAGAATCGTCACAAAAACAATATTATCACCATAACATTTTTTACCTTCGGATAAAGGTAAAATTGTAATCTAACACTTTAGGATAAGGCTACACTTAAAAAATTGTAACTTAAGTTAATGTATGAAAAAAGTTTAGTTGCACGTCTTTATGAAACTTTATAGCAAAATTAACATACAGTCGGATATGATATGATATGACTACAATATTAAAATTTATGACGACATTTAAAATATGTTGCTAAACCATACAAATATTAACACGATTAACATTTTAATTCATAATAATTTAAGAAAAATTATAATAATCTTTTTCTTTAATTCTATAGGTCATAGGAATTACATTGATCCAAACATAAACCACTTTGGATTGTAAACATCAATTTATATATAAATAGGAAAAAGATGCATGTAATGAAACTAAAAATGAATTAACAAAGGTAAGGAGGGATGCAAGTATCATCAAGAGGATTGATGGTGTAGCAAAGCCCATGAGCATCTTGCCCATATTTCATCCCGTAACCTTTGAAGCATTCGTCTATCGCGCATGCAACCTCCTCCGTGGCCGAGTACATCGCAACTGCCAATAGCATTTGCCATCATTGGCTCATTGCCTGTGCCAAATAATTTATATATATATATATATATATATATATAAGTGGATCAATGCCTGATACGGTGAAATTTATATATAAAATTTACAATTATCAAAGACCCATTTTTTACTTCTGAGAGAAGATGTTGTCTAGAGAAAATACAAATATACTTTAAATATTCATTGAAAAGAACATAAATAAAGAATCAAGTTAAGCATATTATAGGGATTTGCTTTCAGGTTAAACCTAAGTGGGTCTTCCTCTAAGTATATATATAAGAATAAATAATAATAGACTTTTAATATAAGAATTACCAGCAGTAATGAAGGGAAGGAGAAGGAAAATGGCAGAAAATGAAAGGCCTTTCATGACTTAATTCTATTTACTATGTGCTAGGAATATTAAGAGAGAGAGAGAGAATGTGTGTGAGTAATGAGGATGGCATGATGTTATGCTTGATTAGTGGGAATATTTATAGGCAAAATATATTGAGAGAATGGATTTCCATGTGACCTTCTTTGTTATAGTCTATTTTTTAATCCTAGTGGAACTATTTCTACAGGGGATGGAAATTGAGGAAAGAATTTCCTCCAGATTTTCCAGGCCAATGGGAAATCTGCTCAAGTCAATGCTAAGTTGCTAGCCAGATATATAAATCAAACATTCTGGAATTTTCCTTGAATGTTTTGCCTCTTATAAAAGGTCCTTTAGCCACTGATCAGTCAATTAAAGTAACTATAAGCTGAACAACTGGAATTTGGTCTAAAATCACAAGGAAATTTCTCTCAACTCTTTTATTATATCAATCCCAATTTTTGTAATTTTTCCTCCACTTTTTGAGTCTTTATTCACTTTTAGTTGAGATATCAAAGTCCAAGGACCATCGTGGCTGTGGAAAGTGAAAAGGGTGTTAAAACAAATAAAAAAAAATACGAAATAATATCAAGCAAATATTCTTATTAATTATGTCGCGTAAGATAAGGCTTTAAGTTATTTGTCATGAATTATCAAAATGAACAAATATGAAAAAAAAAATTTATTTTCATTTGATAGTTTGTTGAGTCTTCAATTGCTTTTAGTTGAGATGTCAATTCAAAAGATGAAAAGAAATATATCATGCACGCACTAAGTCCTCGAGCCATTGAAGATGTGGCAAGTGTAAACGGTATTTAAAAATAAAAAAGAAATAATATCAAGTCAATATTTTATTATTAATTATGTCATTACAATTCAAATCAATTATCATAATTTTATTTAAAAAATAAAATTCGAATCTTCACTCTCTTAATTATAAAAAAAAAAATTATAAACATTCTACACAACAGATTTATGCTATGAAAGTTACATTAATATATAGTAGAAACATAACTAAGATATCTCTGTAGATGTTGCCAAGATGTATATCTTGTACAAGGGTCTGATCCCGGTGATGTCTCTCTACCAATGATTTCCAGAGAACTTGGAAGGTAGACTTCAAATTTTAGTTAGTACATACAACATTGACATTTGAGCTTACCAAGTGATAGACAGGCTGCAACATGGTCACTTATCAGACTGATGCTCTAAGAGTAACTTCTCAACATCATCCACAAAAGTTGACAAATTTTGTCCAATGTGCATATCCAAGGAATTTGCCATTTCCTAATGGATTAAATTAAGAAGAAAAAAAAGCATCTGGGTAAATATGGAAGTCATCAAATTCATAAGAACAAATTTGTAATCTTGACTAATGTATGACATTACTTTATAACAAAATTAATATGCAACCATATATGATACGACTGCGATCTTAAAACCTACAGTAATGTAGTATTTAAAATGTGTAACGAAACTGTGTATGATAGCAACCTAATACAGGATTTTAATATCTAACAAAAGATTATATGAAAACAACCTATAAAAGTATAAATCATGCTAATTGATGTACATACACCATGTAGGAGCCTACTGGGGCAGACGTACTAGCCGTTAGACTCAAGGAGCCTCTCCTTGACTTCCTTTTAATTTATGTACATTAAAGGGTAATTGTATAAGGGGTTTATCACTACGAATGCTCTATTGTAAATACATGTAGAGATGCTGAAACACTTTGAATACAAAGCTTATTTACCTTCACTCTTCTCTCAATTATTGTGTGTGCCTTGTTTGAAAGCTAAGGCCTTTTGTGTGCTTGTGTGTATGTTTATTTTCCGCCGTGGATTTGTGTTGTTTTCAAGAACCTTGTGTTCTTGACTGATCTTGGTAGTTTTAGGTTGACTTTGGCTCTGTATTAGGGCGATTTAAAACTTAAAAGTCACACGAGATTAAACTTAAGGTGTTAATTCGTGACATATTCACTTTGATATTTTAGATTTTTTTTTCTTCTACGACTAGTTGCTTTACTCTCTCCATTACCCCTGGTGAAATAATTATTCATGACTTTTCCCAAAAAAAAAAGTTGTTGGGTACTTTTAAATATTTTAGTATTAATGTCAAGAAAACTAAACAAATCGTAAACATGTAAATTGGGCTAAACCCAATCCAGAATTGCAGACTGTACACTCCAAACTTGTTGGTTGGGCTAGCTCTCTGGTTTGTCTATGGACCAGGTTTGGGTATAGTTCTAGCCCGAGCCCAATCTAACATGACCCAATTAATCTATTTTATTAATAATATTAATATAATATAAAATAAAATATACTAATACTTTTAAATTTTATTCAAAATTTCATATAAATCTATTAATTTTCAAAATATATAATCCGTATAAACGACACTGATTATAAAGAAAAAATGGTTAAAATATTTTTATTTTTTTTATTTTTTTTTTAAAAATATCAACCGATGGTGCTTTTTATGCTAATCAATCATTTCACAATCAAATCTAACTATAGAATGCCAAATCCGATTCTGGGAGCCCCACCGCTCTTATGCCTAACTTTTTGAACTTGTGGATCCTAATCCGAGCTAATCCGACTTAAGCCATAAACAGCTCGACCATGCACTTGACTCAACCCCACGTTGGAACAATTATAAGTCCCTGTTTTAACCTTATCGTCAAGTTGCTTTGGCGGAAAGAATCTTCGGGACATGGAGTGCCATAAATCATGAATGCAAAGGTTGTATCGTCGGTACGACCGGACAGTTGATAAAGACCATCATGTGGGGAGTTCCGACATATATTGTCGTGATGATTTGGCTTCAACCCAAGTGGTAGGCAACACAAACCGCACAAGCTACGGCTAGGGATCCTGCAGTCCGCTAATGTCCAAAGTTTGTATGGACGACAAAATTCTCAAACCTTCCCATGCTTTTGATATATAGTGCCCTTTTCCTTATGTCACGCCACCATCAATCATCTCACGTTTTACTTTGTTAGCTGTCTCTCTCACTTCGTGAAGTAACGCTTGCTTTTCCACTTACAAGGAAAACAAGGGGTGAGGTGCAATTTCCGCATTCGGCTCCTCCTTGGTATGTTCACTTTATTAGAGGCTTTGCTTAAAGGGAAAGATGAAGAAGGCCTTTATAAGAAATATATATATATATATATATATATATATTGTGCATGCCTATTTAAGAGATAAATCAATTATAAATGATTGCCACCCGTTCATATAGTACACATACATTTTTTTATTTGTCTAAATACTCAAATATGTCGTTAAATTATATTAAAAAAAGTTAATTAAGTTTCAATCTTTTTATTACATTCAATAGATTTTTAAATTTTTATTTTGAATCAAATAAATTTTTTTTACTATTGACTTAACTTTCGTTAATCAACAGTACAATTAGCACTTTTTATATCATGTCATTTGCCGCCTAATAAATTGATATGTCATTATGATTTAGGGTTTAAACTCAAAATGTTTGTTTTATTAAATTAGGGAAGCAAGTAATTATGGGGTTTTTTTTTTAATCTTAAATCCTTAAGCCAATAATTTTTGAACATGTGGTTGGGTTTAAAGGTAAAAATACTAATCCTAATCAACAACTTTTAATCCACATCATTTGCCACGTGGTAGTGATGTGATCAAAATGAAACATCAACCAATCACATGGTAAATGATATGGCATAAAAGTGTCAATTGTATCCTCATCTATCAAAATTTAATCAACAGTTAGTGAGATATACTTATTTGACTCAAAATAAAAATTTATAGGCTGAA